TTTAGGGTTTAGGGTTTAAGGAATAGTTCGTAGCATGTTTACAGTTTTCATGCTTTAACAACAGCCGAGCTTGACGCCCATCGTGACAGGGCATAGAGGCAGAGTAATCAGATGGGTAAAGCAAAGAATCGGATCAATATGATTTCGGGCCCTCCCTGCGCTGAGCTCTAAACCCTAAACCAAGAATAAGAGACGTGAATATCAACATCACTGCGGGCCCGTTGTATGGTGCAGAGTTCGAGCTTGTTTGCAAGTCTGCGGGAGTGGAACTATAGAGTTGGCTTGTCTAGGGTTTAGGATTTGGGCTTTAGGGTTTGAAGTTGAAAGGTTTAGGGTTTGTATGGGATCCACGGTTTAGGAATTATTGTGGTTGAGGGTTTAGGGTTTAGGGTGGAGATGTAGGGTTTTACTTAGGGTTTTAAGGTTTCGGGTTGGCGAGCGTAGGGTTTACTGCGGTCATTGCACAGTTGTTGCAGCGTCAAGTCCTCGGGGTTTAGTTTAGATCCCTGCAGCGTCAACAAGCAGCAAGCCATAGGCTTTTAATATAGGGGCTTCAATAGTTATTACCTATTCTTGTTTTGGGGGTAGTTATGGGCCGCAAAACCCGATTCTAAATATTAAGGCCCCTATGTTGCATGGAAATAACCAAACCTTCTTTTTTTGTAGGGGCCCTACGCATTCTACTCCAGGGTTACCAGGGTTTGTGACTACACCCTGCAGCTCAGTAGGTTACGATCGTGGTTGGGTTTAGGCTTACAGGGTTCATGCCAAGAAAGACCCCCGGCCCTAAACCCTGAACCCTCAACCCTCAGCCCTCAACCCTAAACCCTAAACCCCGGGCACTTGCGAGGAACACTGCCCCGTTCTTTTGCACACATGGTACTCCAGGACCGCCTGGGCGCTGACGGTTTATGGTTTGGGGTTCGCATCCAGGGTTCCTTAGTCCCTGGAGTTTAGAGTTTAGGGTTTGGGTTAATATTTTTAGGGGTTAGGGGTTATACGGTTTTGGGTTTACAGCGGATGTTGAAGGTGTTTCCAGGCGTGACCCACTCAGCAATAGGATCCTAAGCTATGATGTATGGGGAGCTAATAGAGACATGGTAGCTTTTTGATGTACACCGATCAAGCCTACTGACTGCAGAATCCATTAACCAAGAGCGGCTGCACACCAAACCCTAGCGGGTTATAGGTTTTAGGGGTTAGGGTTCTAGAGTTTTCGATTTGTACGTGTCCCAGGAGCCTTTTGCCCTTTTCAGGATTCGATGACGGGCTCTGTAACAGTAGGGGCTGTATAGGGTTTTTTGGAAAGAGTTTGTAGGTTTACCTAAACCCCAAACATCCTACCTTGTTCAGGACGTATACATGGAAGTCATAGTACATAAGGAACCCTAAATACAAGAGGGGTTCTTAAGGGTCCTGGTAGGATTTAGGCCTAAACCCCTAAACCCTAAACCCTAAACCCTGGTGTCTCGATCGTAAAGCGCCCTTTCCAACCCGACACCTGCAGTCAGGGGTTCGGGATTTGGCTTCGAAAGAGGGTGTGGGTCAAGGGTTTAGGATTTAAGGTTTAAAGGGTTTAGGGTTTAAGGTCACGGGTTTAGGGTTTAAGGTTTAGGGTTTAGGATTTATTTGAGGGTGTGACCTTCTCAAACGCTTGTGCAATGCTGAAGATACAGCAGGTAGAAGTTTGGGTCGCAAGGTGGAATGAAACACTCAATTTTCAGGCTTTCTCTGCATGTGCTGCATGAGGGTTTAGGGTTTAGAGTTTAGGGTTTGGGCGTTTAGGGTTTTAGGGTTTAGGGTTCAAGGGTTTAGGGCTTAGGGTTCAGAGTTTAGGGTTTATGGTGTGGCCGTGGGGTCAGGAATTGGTTTCTATGGCAAGCCGAGCCTGAAGTCTTGCACATATCAGCTCTGTCAACGAGCCCTGGACATTAGGGTTTAGGGTTTAGGGTTTAGGGTTTAAGGTTTAGGGTTTAGGGTTTAGGGTTTGGGTTCAGGATAGAGGAGATTAGTTCTTGGTACTCACTAGTCATCAGAATCAGAGCAGGATCTTTGACTTTAGCCATTTACCAGCTCGCTTGATCCTGCAAGTACAATCTACATCCTACGCCTACGAGTTGAGCTCACGCACCTTCTTGAAACGGTGCTCTGTACAGCAGCGGAGACATTCGGAAGGTTTACCTACAGTCTCCATTGTAGTTCAATTTCGGGGTTAAACCAGTTCTATAAATTTCGCATCCTACAAACGTTACAGTAGTGAATCCCAAAACGAACTAACATGTGGTCTTTAGGTAGGGTCTATATTCAATTCTCGGAATGTCCCACATGGTGACCTTGAGCCCGAATGACCTTGCATCTTTTGCGCACCCTAACCCCCCCCCCCCTAAACCCTAAACCCTAAACCCTAAACCCTAAACCCTAAACCCTAAACCCTTAACCCCCAAATTTTGAATGCTGCACCTCGCAGTTGTACAGAGCGGCTCAAGATTCCACTGTTGCAAGAGACGCTGCCATGTCGTCCGCAGATGCGACCTGCCTGCTTGCACTTTTGGGCTTCAAGGGTTTTAGCCCAGGTTATATTAGGGTTTAGGGTTTAGGGTTTAGTTTTGGGTGGCTTTGCCCTTAGACTAGGTCCTGGTATCAGCAGGCCTCACTCCTCATTGCTCAGAGTTAGCATGTGTTAACCGAACCAAACAAAACCTGTTGCTTTAGGCGCCTTAAACCCTTTCCTTCCCCGAAGAGTCCAACTACACAAATATTTTAGGGTTTAGGGTTTAGGGTTCCGGCTTCAGGGTTTAGGGTATGTTGGGCTATTGGGAGTCTTCCGCCTCAAGGTTTTTTGCAAGTAAGAAGAGGGTCTATGCTCTCGGGGTTGAGGACGTTAAGGTGCACTAAGTCGGTGGTTGAAGGTTGAGGTTTGGGGTCTAATTAAGGGCCTTATGAGGTACTCCCCTCATTAACCCCTTAAAGTATGTAATCGTTGGAGCCGCCTGGTTCTCCAGCTACTTGCGCTTCCGGAATTAGAAGCCCACCTCTTAGCATTTTGTCGGGATACGCGATGATACCCGGCTTTTTGGTCAGTTCTAAACCCTAGACCCCTAAACCCTGAACCACCCTAAACCCTAAACCCTAAACCCCTAAACCCTAAACCCTGTTTGGGTTTGGGGCATTGCCCCCTGCAGGCTCCTAAACCTGGAGACTGACTGCATGGGCCTGACCGGGCCCATACTAGATATCGATTTGGGATGATTTCTGATTACCCTGTTTAGGGTTTAGGGTTTCATATACAGCCCTTATTCTAAATAACTCTGGGGACTTTTGAAATCGACACCTAGCATAGGGATTGCTATAATTGCCCTCGTGTTCACAGCGGCCCCGGAAGTGTTGACACAGTTATGCTTTGCCAACTGTATATGGGTAGTTCTCTAAATTAGGGTCCCTTTTCAGGGGCCCTTTTTATAAGGGTTGCCGTACTATATTGGGGACCTAGAAAGGGATCCGAATTTAGAGAACTACGCATATTCTAAGAGTTCAGGATTCCGAGCTCGGAGTCTTCATGTTTCTAGGCAGGGTTTAGGGGTTTAGGGTTTGGGGTTTAGGGCATCGTTATCATGTGGTGTCAAGTCGAACTCTTTTTGTAACAAATTGTATGGAGCTGTATGTGCAATGCATGTTTTGTGTATGCGTATGTATATGCAAATGCACCAAGGTATATGCACACCTACACACGTGCAGTCGAATATGAATGCACTAATTTGATAACGCGTTGCACTATAATTTCATCCGTAAAGGGCTTGTTTGCGTCTGCATGCTGTCTTCAAAGGAGTGTGATCTCAGACTACGGTTCAGGAACTGAATTAGCACCCTTCTCTGAAGCTTGAGCACTTGTGACTTGAACCCTAGACTGGTCCGGGTTTGGGGTTAGTGGTAGTTCCAAGGTTTAGGTCTTTGTTTGTGGTCCATGAAGCTCTATCCGTCCTTCGTGGTTCCCGGCGCTGAGGTGATCGTTCTTTCGGTGAAGGTTGCCAAGCAGCGCAAGCCTCGCCAGCTGCGGAAGGCTCTGTCCACCTAGTTTCTTAGGATTGAGGCTTTAGGGCTCGAGTTTGGGAGATCCCAACATCACCTACATGAAGTAGAAACTCGGGGCTGAGGATAGTAGCATTTAGGGTTTAGGGTCAAGGGTTTAGGGTTTAGAGTTTAGGTAGCATTGCAGGTCAGAATTTGGGGGAAGTATTTTTGTTCGCTTAGTATGGGGGCCTGAGGAATGCGTATCATCTTATCCCACAGTTCCAAGAGGGATGTGGGCGTTCCTCTTTTTCGTAAGCCTCGTTACCCGGTTCGGGTTCAGCTGTGTTTGCCAATCTCTTTTCGGCAAATCGCGGGATTCCTCGTCTTGCATTTTTGACTGCAGGTAGCTCCCAACCAACCATTTCGGGTTTAGGGTTCAGTCAGGATTTGGAGATCTTGTTGCTCTACATGTTGCCTTCTGCCCCACATGTTGCCTCACCTTCAACACTCGCTGAGTCGCTGAGCAGACTCTTCTCAGGTGTTTTGGGTTCGGGATGGTTCGGAGGGACTATGAAGAGCTTGGGGTGTAGTGAGTGTAGTGGCAAGGCGTTGAGGTTTGTGTTGACTACACCAACCTACTTTGTTCAGGGCTTCTGGGCGAACTGCTGTAGCGATTCTCCATTTGTGCTATTGGGGCAAGCTCAGTGCTGAGGGTTTGCGGTAGCGGACTCGGGGTCTGGCTTTCCGGCATTCCAACAAAACCCTAAACCGGGAAGGTTCATACGGTGTCTTGTTGCTCGAAAGGGAGTCTGTGGCGCAGTCCCAACTTGAACAGCGCCAAGCATAGCAAAAGACTTGAAGCACTTTGTTCCGGGTTTGCGGCTGTTTGAGGGTACAGGAATTTCAAAAAAACTAGTTTGAGGTTTAGCATGGGTTTCGAGGCAGGGTGTAGAAACTCGGGTGTGCGTTTTACCCTGGTTTAGGGTCCATATAGAGATGTTTACCGTCGAACGGCTAAGGTTTGTCATCTTGACATACCTCGACCTCAATCCAGCTACAACTGGCCCGACCTTGCATCCGTACGCCCTAAATACTAATCTCGAAACCCTTAACCTTACCTGCATTTCATGGGCAGGACGACAAAGCCGAACATGGTGCTGACAGCCAGGAGAGCGGGATGTGTGGCGTTGAGGCTTTCGATTTTGGGAGTTGGACCGGTCGTAGTGAGGCAGGGTCAGGTGCTTGATGAAGGTCTTGCGGTTAGTCTGGGTTTAGGGTAGGGTTTAGGGTCTATGTGGCGTTCGAGCAAAGGGGAATATCATTGGATGTTGTTCGTGGATTTTCTGACCCGGGAATTGACTTTGAATCTGTGCTGCTTTGTGGCTTGCGGCTTCTGGGTCTGCGAACCCAATTCGAAGGACTTCGAGTCTAGTTTTTCCGAGCACCATCGCATTCAATCGAGGCTTTAGTTCTTGAGCCCCTGAGTTTAGGGTTTAGGGTGTAGTTGAGTAAGTGATTCGCACTCGTTCTTAGAGTATTTACAACGCTGATTATGCAACATAAACATCCCACATCCTGTGAGCCCTGCTCTGTGTGAGCCCCTTTGAAGTCTCACACGTCGGGCCGTCAGGGAGATGGTGGATAGTTCCACACATCCTGATTCTGGACGTAGAGATGATAGAAGTTGAGTGTATTCGGCTTGTTTCTTGCGGTATCCGCCCTCACACAATGTGTTGTCTGAATGTCTCAAGTTCAGGTTCAGCGTTGCTTGAAGATTTGTTTTCAGGAATTCGTGGGATTCCTCGTCTTCGATTTTTGAGTGTTCGAGTTTCGGATTCAGCTAGGATTTGGAGATCTTGTTGTTCTACATGTTGCCTTCTACTCTACATGTTGCGTCCCCTTAACCCTAAACCCTAAACCCTAAACCCTAAACCCTAAACCCTAAACCCCTATTAAACAATAAGCTGAAGGAGCCGGTCAGATTTCAGCACGTCAAGCAAGAAGTGACGGAGGGCATCGAGGCGCGGGGGGAGTCTGCCGCCCCAGTGCGGGGCGTTCTTCTTGGGGTTTAGGGTTTAGGGTTAGGGTTTGGGGTTTAGGGTTACACTTAGTTCTCCAGTACCAACCTTTAAACTTTTTGGGTTCTTATAATTTAGTAGTGATCTGAAAGTTTAACCTCTTATTTCCCGGGCTTGTTGGGGGGAAGTAAGTTTGGCTGTTGCCACGGAAATCCCATTTCGTGATAAACGAAGCCCGAAGCCCTCAGCCCCCAAAACACTTACACCCTTGTGCCACGCCCTAAGTTTACACAGGGGATACAGTCCATAATTCCCGCTACAACGGGTCAGCCAGAAGCCCTGTCGATGTGCCCAGCCTGTTCAGCTAGGTTTACGGTTTAGCGATTAACCAGGGATTCGGGGATGAGGCTTTAGGGTTTACACTAACCCCTAAACCCGGCGGTAGGGCAGGAAGCTCGAAGGTTTGTCTGCACCTCCCACCATGCAACATTTTCTGTGCTCGCGTGAGGCAGACAAGTTGAATCAAGCAAGGCAAGATCAAGATCACGAGGAAATGCCCAAGGCTGGTATGGGCATCACATTTGCTGCTATAGAAAAGGCTGCACTCTTGGGGTCGTTCAGGCTTTGCTGCCGGTATCCGAGAGTCGTCAAGTGCATCCATTCACGTGACGTTTGTTCCTCACTCACGCCTAAGTCCTGCGTCTCGGTGCTTGCATCACCTGACCATGACCGCATTTTGGATACCCGCTTTGGCTTCTAGTCTCGGAATGGTGATGTGCGAGGCACAACTAGCAAGGCTTCCAAAACATGAGGGTTTTAGGTCTAGGCTTCAGAGTTTAGGGTTTAGGGTTAAGGGTTGAGGGTTTTAGGTCTAGGCTTCAGAGTTTAGGGTTTAGGGTTTACCTACTTCCCACGTGCACTGTCAACACCAGTGCCTCAGACGGACAGTGCTGGCTCCGAGGTAAAGGATGAGGTGAAGGAAGAAGTTGAGGCACGCCCGTGAATGTCTGTGATAGGTCAGGTACCCTAAACCCTAAACCCTAAACCCTAAACCGACATTTAGAGTCAGTTGGGTCACTTCGGCCCTCGCTGAACTTGGCTTTTCATCAGAGTCGGAGCTTCTGCCAGGCTTGGGCCGAAACCTCAAAGTTACGACTCGACGAAGCTCCGCATCAAACTGAAGCCAAACCCATCTACAGCACATGGGTAGTTCTCTAAATTAGGGTCCCTTTTGGGGGTGCTGTATATAAGGGTGCCGTACTATAATGGGGACCTAAAGAGGGACCCTAATTTAGAGAACTACCCACATCAGAACACTTGGACTTCATACAGCTCCAGTGCGAGATCACGGTAGAAGCTGTCAAATCAGCGTTCCGCTGTTCGACAGCTAAGCTTCATCTGTACTGCCGCCGAACATACTGGCGAAGGCAAGCCTCAATCCCACGAACCCTGGTTCCCCTAGGTTACTGCAGCCGTCTTGGCCTTCGTACTGTAGGTTGTAAAGATTGGACACGGCAGGAGCGTACAATCCCGACTATTGACACCAAGCTGCCCAGAGACTCCAATACCCCTTAATTAAGGAATATACCTTACATTATAGTAGGATTCCTAATAAGATTTAAGGTATATTCCTTAATTAAGGGGTATACCTTAAATTATAGTAGGATTCCTAATAAGATTATAAGGTATATTCCTTAATTAAGGGGTATTGGAGCCTCTGGGTGGAAGCAAAGGAGCGAGGGTAGGATGGTTTCATCGGCTTGCACGGGGCTGGGAATGGGGAGGTGCCTAGATCTGCGTTTAGGGTTTAGGGTTTAGGGCTTAGGGTTTAGGGTTTAGGGCTTAGGGTTTAGGGTTTAGGGTTAACGTTCTTGTATGTTCTCAGAAGGACCCACGGATAGGAAGTATCTGCAGATATATCAGGCGTACGGTTCGTAGGATGGTGTTACTCGTAGCTCGCGAAATCCGCTTGCGCCATCTTATCCCCGAGGTTTCGTCTCCCAACGGTCATGCTTCTCTCTGACGGTCTCTCTCCATGACCAAATGCAACCAAGCTGATTGCTACTCTCCGAATCTAACGAGCGCGGACATGATTGCATGGTGGTTAGCAGGTTCGGTTCCATCACCTTCGGATGCGGAATACTTAGCCGCGGGAGCAATTTGTAACACTCGTGGCCTCTTTGAGCCCTCAAAACCTGAAAGCCCCTGCAGGCTTCACCTGGCCTAAACACTACACTGTTACATCGTCACCCTATACAGTAAACTCTTGCACCAGCAGGGCAAAATCCAATGACAGGCTTCCAAACCCTGAAACCCTAGACGCTCACGGAACCCTTAAGCCTTAAGACAACACAAATTGATATTTTGTTGATCGCTTGAAGGAACCCTTAAAACCGGAATAGCCCGAAACCCCATTCTCAAGCACCGTAAACGTTTAGGGTTTTCGGTTCAGGGTGGAGGGTTTCGGCTTGGTCGGCTTTGGGTTTCGGAGATTTTCTATGGATGTTCGGTGCCTCGAGAAGGGTTTTTGCAACCTTGTGCTACGAAAGGCGCCATACTATCAAGCTTTGACCTGCTAAGTGCTTGAAGGACGTGAAGAAAGAGGTGAAGGAGGATGTGCAGACGGAAATAGAGACACGGATCAAGGAGGAGCAGTCCCGGGATATGAAAGAGGAAGTCAAAGAGGAGATGGTGCAAAAGGCTGCGGCGAAGGGCTTGTGGGGATGCTAAAGTTTCTACGCAGGTCAAGGGAGTTGCCCGGCTCTTATCCGTAATTCTAACCTCGAATGACAGCTTCCAGAATCACAGCTTCCAGAATCTAGTGTAACGAGAGCGGACACGATTGCATGGTGGTTATCAGGTTCAGTTCAATCACCTTCGGATGCGGAATACTTAGCCGCAGGAGCAATTTGTAACAATCGTGGCCTCGTTGAGCCCTCAAAACCTGAAAGCCCTGCAGGCTTCACCTGGCCTAAAGACTACACTGTTACATCGTCACCCTATACAGTAAACTCTTGCACCAGCAGAAAACAGGCTTCCAAACCCTGAAACCCTAGACGCTCACAAAACCCTTAAGTGGCCCTTAAGCCTTAAGACAACACAAATTGATATTTTGTTGATCCCTTGAAGGAACTCATGAACGGAACCCTTAAACCCGAATAGCGCGAAACCCCTTTCTCAAGCACCGTAAACGTTTAGGGTTTTCGGTTCAGGGTGGAGGGTTTCGGCTTGGTCGGCTTTGGGTTTCGGAGATTTTCTATGGATGTTCGGTGCCTCGAGAAGGGTTTTTGCAACCTTGTGCTACGAAAGGCGCCATACTATCAAGCTTTGCCCTGCTAAGTGCTTGAAGGACGTGAAGAAAGAGGTGAAGGAGGAGGTTTCGAAGGATGTGCAGACGGAAATAGAGACACGGATCAAGGAGGAGCAGTCCCGGGATATGAAAGAGGAAGTCAAAGAGGAGATGATGCAAAAGGCTGCGGCGAAGGGCTTGTGGGGATGCTAAAGTTTCTACGCAGGTCAATGGAGTTTGCTGCTCAGATCTGTAATCCGAACCTCGCGTGACAGCTTCCTATGTTTAAGCACTGAATTAGGACACCAAGAAACTTTAGATTCTAAAGACTTTCGTTTGTGTCGCGATTTCATGGAGTGTCATGGTGGCGAGAGTTTTTTGAAGATAATGAAGCTGGTCTTTTATCGTCTCGGTAGGCTTCCGGGTGCTTGGTCGATTACGGCTTAGTGCGTGCAGGTGTGTCCCGAACATGATGCTTAACCCGACGAGTCCTTGCATCATGATAAAACTTATTGACCTCGAGGGGGAACGCATGCCTTGCACCGCACCACAACTTCGCAAGCCCTGGACCCTAAACGTTAGATGCTGCAAGCACTATGATGCCTCATGTACGACTCCGAAACTCTTAAACCCATGGTTTCCGGTTTGAGTGAAAAGTCAACCAATTCCATGATGCTTCTAGTAAGTACGGTTAAGGGAAAGGTTACGAGAACTACTGCACGATATTCAGAAGCTGTGGTTAAATTTACTTGGAAATCGTCGCTTAGTTTATATTGCTCATGAACTTTCCATGTGCCGAGTTGGGTATGAAAGGTTCGCTGGTTGTTTCGGGTTCAGACCCAAAGCTCAAATTGGCATCGGGATGTCATTTCTGCATCTCGATCGGGTTTATGCGAAGACGTTCTAAACCTTAAGAGTATGCGGATCCATTTCTCCTGGCGCTGAGCCGCCTCAAGAAGTGTGTTCCCTGCACCGCTCAGATTCCAAACCGTAGCCCCACTATCTCCTGTCATTCTGTCAAGCTCAACATTCGAAGCTTGTGAAGGGCATCAAGCTGGAGGTGAAGGAGGAGCTTTCCAAAGATATCGAGATCAAGCAGGAGGCGGCCGAAGACTCCCGGAAAGAGTTTGCAATACAGGGGCCTATCTAAATAATTACCAATACCAGTTCGGGGGGTTCCTTAATATAATTATAGTATAATATACCCCAAAACCCTATTCTCATTATTAAGGCCTCCATATTAGTAATGTCCGGCTGACGAACCCACTTCGGGAACTATTTTGCAACCGTGCCAGTTACTCGTCATACCGGAAAGTACTCAACGTGACAAGTCTTGGCGAATCACAGCAAATCTGTCCTGCAAGGTTTGGGTGACCTCACACCCACACCTCGATGTTCAGACCTACCCTATGTCTCTGTGGTTTTGTGCCTTGTTGTTGCTTAATGGGGTGTGTGGTCTTTGGTGTTCGAGGGCTTTACTAGCTCAGACACAACTTCTCCAGAGCTTATCATATTGTGGGCCTGTTCCTCGAAGTCCCGATTCGGGTTGAGGCATTAGTGTTGAAAGCTTTGAACAGGAGGTTGACTTGCTGAGTTCTCCGGGCATGTCGTCAAACCTGTTTGCGGTACTCATAGCTGCAGCAAGAGGCCGTCAGCTGCCGGCGAAGACTGCGCACGAAGGCTGGTACTGGAGCAACTTGCAGAACCAGTTGTTTGCAGAGGTTGACAAAGGTTTGGAAGAACATGGGCTGTCAAGTTTGCCGAACCACTCCTTCCCGCCACTGCTGCAGCAAAAACACCGCAGCAGTTTTTGTTGTTCTGCAGGCTGTCGTGCATGTAGGTCACGGTTTGTAGAGCAGAAAATGCGAGGAGCATCAGTGGGGTGCATTACTTAGATGTCTACAACTTTACGGAAAATGTAAAAGAGTTACACATACACTCAAACACATACCTACATACATACATAAATACATACATACATACATACATACACACATACAAACATACATACACACATACATACATTTGCATATACATATACATATACATATACATACATATAGAACCAGAACTCCACGTTATGAGCTCCACGTGCTATACGAGTCACTTGGAAGGCAAAGGTTGAGATCAAGAGTGAGATGAAGCAGGAGGACCTGAAGTCTCGGCGTTTGGGGACGGCTTTTGTTTCGGCACTCCGGTAGCCCCTAAAGCCTAAACCCCTGATGCTGAAACAAAGCATAAACCGATCCTACCACCGATCCTAGTCCTTCAGTTTACGGCTTCGTTGCGGACAACCTTGCTGTTTGGGGTGCAACACTCACATGCAATTTCTGTCCGCTTAAACCCGGTAAGCCCTAAACCCTAAACCGTACAGCACCGTAAATCGCAGAGGACTGCAAGTGGCCAAGCCAGGTGCATCTTGGCAGCTTTCAGAAGCATTCAAACCTGCTAAATTGCAGTCTCTGCCATCGGGTGTTTACAGTGCGCATACTAGGGCTACAAGGACTACGACATTCAAAGAGGCAGTGCAACAGTTTAACGGCAACAAACATGAGGAGCATCCGGTTCAAGCTTTCATATTTGGGCTTGTTACTTTCATTTTTCGGGGCCAGCTGCTGCCTTGTGGTTTTGCAGGTTAAACGATTAAGGTTTAGGGTTTAGGGTTTACTGCAGCAGGGCCAGAGCATGTTCGCATCAGTCTTTTCCTCCTGAGGCTTGGTACTTGCTGAACCCTAAACCCTAAACTCTCAACCCTGGCCGGGACATGGAGGAGTTTCCGACAAAAAACTGTAGCCGGACAGGCCCTGAATCAGACTCCGAAAGCCAATATCTCAGCTAGCCCGTTTCAATGTTCACTCAACCCCCAAACCCCTCAAGCCCTCGACGACGTTCTATTAGCTCCGGCCTTTTGTACCTGTAAGCTAAGGCCATACAGGGATGCCTCCAGAAAGTTATAGTCGGTTCTACCTTTATTCTGCTCTTCAAGTCTTCGATGCTGGGCACTCTTTCTTGCCATAGAAATACGGACATGGGTGCCCTTCACATGTTTAGGGTTTAGGGTTTGGGGTTGAATTCTTGTTGACATCGCTTTCCAATCGAGGACTGGCGTGAAGCGCGAGCAGGTGTGTGTTAAGGAGGAACATGCTGAGCAGTCTGGTCCGATCCAAGAAGCCAAGAGGCGTCGATTGAGCCAGAAGAGTCCGGACAGCTCAGTTCCATCCTTCCAGTCGCGAGTGACAGAGTGGGCCGAGAAATGCCTAGCATTTCAATCCTCTGGCAAGACGTGGCTGCCCACGAAGCCTTGCTGTCCGGCCAGCCCGTTTCTTGGACTAGCAGCAGCTCCGTGGCAAGGGTGTGAGAAGGACGCGGCAGCAGCATGCGTGCAGCTCCTCAGCAAAGAGCAGTTCAGAGAGTTGCGCGACTTCTATCACGAGAACCCACACCATGCCCTCTTCCATGGCAACAGTGACCCAAGCAGCAAACAACAGACAGAGACCACAGCTGGATCCAGGCCGCAGGCCCACAGGAGCTCAACCGGCAATCAGCACCGAGCAGCTGAGTGCATGAAGATGTGGCCTTGGATGCGGGACCTTCCCACCCGAGCTTGGGCCGGCAATGGCTGGCTACTCGTGGAGGACGGCATGATGAAGCTCTCCCCGACCGGAGGGGGCTCCGCCATGCAGGGCCTGGAGATCTTCGAGTCCATGGGCTCCGTCCCGGAACCCGACGAGCCATCCAGCAGAGCGGAGCCCAGAGCCGAGGAAGGCCAGGTCATCACGAAGTGCTTCCGTGGCCTGGAGCGCCAGAGTGGCATCCAGGGAATCATCTGGAAGAGAGAAATGGCTTGCTGGCGAGTCCAATGGCAGGTAGCTGGCAAGCGGAAGCTGCTCCACTTCCCCATTTCCAAGCACATGAAGCTGGGCCTCAGCGAGGCGGAGGCCGTGGAGGCGGCCCTCGAGGAGGCCAAGGCTTTCCGCGAGGAGCTCGTGCGCCTTGGAAAGCTGAAGCCGCCGAGACCCGTCACGGAGAAGGCCTCCGGCTCCACGGTGAGGGGAATTAAGTATAACAAGAATAACGGAACCTTTCAGGTTCAAATGACTGACCCCTCCACCAAGAAACTCGTCCACGGCGGCATGTTCAAGGTGAAGGAGGAGGCCGAGGCCAGGGCTCGGGAGATGTTCCAGAAGTTTTGGGATGAGCACCACGAGGTGGTGCCAGTGAAGCCGCTTTCGGAGATCCCTCACTTCGAGCCTCTCGGGCCGGAGAAGGGAATCCGGTGGAGCCAGCAGACATGGCATGCCCAGATCAATGTGGCAGGCGAGCACAGGGACCTAAGGGTTCGCCCCAAGGACTTCTCGGCGAAGGAGGTGGAGAAGGCCTGGAAGCAGGCGGTGGCCTGGCGCAAGCAGCAGGAGAAGGAGAAGGAGCGGATCCAGGAGGCCCAGAAGCGAAAGCGCTAAGACCGCTAAGATCGAGTCCTTCGTAGTCGTAGTACCGGTCTCCAACTGTAAAGACTGCAGTGTTTGAAGTGGCATCGCCGTCTCGGTGTGGGATCCGCCCTTGCGCAGCCTCAAACCCGCCTGTGCAGTGTCAGTACTCGCCCTGCAACTGTGCGCAACGCAGTCCGAACTCCACAAACAATCAGGCAAGGTTGGATCCCATCACATCTCTCGCTGAATTCCAGAGTCGTGCAATCATCGGTATGTGTGCTTCACACGTTCTTTTCGTGCATCTGCTACGTGGAAAAGCAGACCCTCCTTGACATCAGGAGTCAGGCTCGAGATTTGGGGTTGCAGCTTCTCTCTCTCTCTCTCTCTCTCTCTCTCTCTCTCCAGGTAAGTGTACATAGGTGATCCGCAAGCTGGCTGCATGATGCATCGCAGTAGCTCATTGCCTACGTAACTGAAGGCCTCAACACCGTGACTGACACATGTTGCTTTGCCGATGGCACCGTCACCATGATGTTCGGGTGTGCCCTGTAAGGGTAAGGAAGACGAGAGGCGATTATAGTCTTGGTTGTGCTTGCGTGTTCTAGCTGTAGCTTACGGAGTTTGAGGCCAAGGTTGCGGGTTGAGAGCTTGTTGCAGAGATTTTTGGGGTGCGGGGTAACATTAACTATGTCAAATGTAACTAGTACATGCCATTTTTTGCTGTATCACTTCATTGTAGACTGCCATATTATATACCCCAGACCCTAATTAGTTACTTGTACTTTAACATACTTTAACTAGTCAGGCCTCTACATATGGTGTGCCGGCATCGCATCGGATGCGAGCTGAGCTTGCGAACACGAAACGAAATCCGATCCCAAGAGCCTACTACAGGGCCAGGGGCTTTAACTATTTGAGTATATAGTGCTTTGGGGGGTCTATTATACAAGACATGAGAAATAAACCAACTACTTGTACGAAATGCCACCATTGCCTCTGGCAGGCAAGCTCCCCTCCAGCCTATCCCTCGTTCGTGCAGTCCGATGTTCTGAGCATGCGTTCGTGTGCAAGTCAGTCCCAGGCAGCACAGGAACGTTGCGAGAATTGATCATTTCACACACCCTAAACCCTAAACCCTAAACCCTTCACACTCTCATGTCTCTGATGACTTCGAAGTCTCGCCCGTCTATCTAAGTTTGATACCTCCTGATGCACTAAAGCCCTGAGACCTTATTTAGGGTTTAGGGTTTAGGGTTTAGGGTTGAAGACCCGGTTTGGGTTTAGGGTTTAGGGTTTAGGGTTTAGGGTTGAAGACCCTGCAGCCTATTTCACAGGAAGGGGTCGGTGGCTGGAGTTGGAGCTGAAGATCATTGCAGATGCCCGGAGCCCAACCCGCGGGCTTGCTACGGCGTCGTTAGGGTTTGGGGTCTCGGGTTCAGGGTGTTTACGTTTCTTTCCAAATGTAAGGACTTCGAGCTTCTGCCGGTGCCCCAAAAATTCAAAAAAACACGCGTGAATCCTGTAGTTCTAGCTAAAATCATGCACAGATGCATGTCCAATCATGTAGGCTTCTCGTTGTCGATAGTAGTGCAGCGTACCAAGCGCTTCGCAAACAAAGTGACATCAAATTTGAGTAATAAACTCTGCATTTCGCAAGCTCAGACAGGGATCCTTACCAAGAAAACATACACATGCTGATATGGCTTGTGCCTCATAACCCTAGACGTAAGCCCCAATCCCCATATAGCCATGTATAGCTTTACGATTTTGTTGACCCTAAAACCCGAAGCACTGAACCCTAAACCCGAAACCCTAAACTGCTTCATTACAGAGGGTTCAGGCGGGTCGGACATGAACTTCGGACGGTTAGCTAGACCGATAAACTTCACAAGCCGAGGTTCAGGTTTCGGATTTAGGGTTTTAGGGTTTAGGGGTTTAGGGTTTTAGGGTTTTAGGGTTTTAGGGTTTAGGGTTTAGGATTTAGGGTGTAGGGTTCAGGGTGTAGGGTTTAGGGTTCGGGTTTTGGGGTTGAGGATTTGCCGGTAGGCTAGCGACAACCTTTGGCGCCGCATCAGCTTCCGAATCTGGGTTATAAGGCTCAGGGCTTCCTTGTCCACGGCGAAGGTTTGCAAGATCGTGCACGCTTTCGGCAAGATTTTGGCGTGCTAGGTATTCCGTCAACGAGCATCTGGCAAGTAGTCAATGGAATAGCTTTCAACTCGTGAGGGGGTCTGTAACCCTGAAGCCTGCACTTTAAGTCCTGTTTATAAACCCTAAACCCTAAACCCTAAATGGAAGGAGTTTCATGACAGAGACCTTGCTTCTGGATCAGATAATTCAGGGCTGAGGCTAGCTTTCAGCCTAGAGTATGCAACATCACAGGTCATCAACGCTTCGATAAAGTCCAAGAGGTCATAAACCCTAAACCCTAAACCCCCCACACCCTAAACCCTAAGCCCTAAACCTTAAAACCTACACCCCAAACCCTAAACCCCAAACCCTAAACCCCAAACCCTAAACCCTAAACCCCAAATTGTTTCGGAGAGATTCGGACCTGGGGCTCAGGCTTCTGGATTCAGGGTTGTGAGAGGGCGAGTCTTACCTGAAAGCCCCTCCACCTGCCGTGGGCAATGTGTTAAGTTAAGGTTTAGGGTTTAGGGTTTAGGATTTAGGGTTTAGGGTTTAGGGTTTAGGGTGCAGGATTTAGGATCTAGGGTTTAGGGTTCAGGGTTCAGGGTTGTCTCTACTCCTGAAGATGTTACCTTGTGTTCACCCAGGCCCATGTTTCATGACTCTGGCGCCCGGAGTCACACCCACCAGTTTACTTGATTTGTCCATCAGTCACTGCCGACATTATTCCTTACATAGGGTTCCTTATTATATTTCTACTATAAATAGCCCAAACAAACCCTATTCTAATTATTAAGGCCCCTACCCACGTTGATGGGATGGTAAGGTCGGAATCATCGGTGTCCCAAATGCCGGAAAATCGCCTGGACCTCGCTCGCATGTGCTTTGGGTGCTAGGCTTCAGGGAGAGTACTTTTGCAAGGCTTATGTTTAGGGTTTAGGGTTTAGGGTTTAGGGTTGGGGATACAGCGTGTTCGGGGAAGGTCCAGCTCACTTATGTGGCTGCCTAATCTGTTAAAACTTTTCGTATAACATAACAACTTAACTACCAGCTATCCGTCAGTTACAGTATGTCTCTCGAGTGTATGCAGGCAGTGGGGTGTGCATGTGTGCATGCATGCATGCATGCAGGCATGCAGGCAGGCAGGTAGGTAGGTAGGTAGGTAGGTAGGTAATTCCAATTAGAACGCCAACAAAATTTTAGCAATCATCTTCGTATAGGTTACATGGAATCACCTGAGTCTTTCCTTCCAGCCGATTCTGGCCAAGAGCTGGGTTACGGGTCCAGCGGGCGAAGTTTTCGTGCTTCATCTTTCAGATTCGTAGACGTGCGTGCATTTGTCGATGATCCTTGCCTCAAGCAATGCCCTGAACCTATCAACTCAGCCCAAGAATCTGAAGCCCTATTAGGGTTTAGGGTTTAGGGTTTAGTCCATGATAGCCTTCAACCCCCTGCTTGACAAAGGCCTAAGCAACCCTGAAACCGCAAACCCACAGGCTGAGACTCTGCACCGAAGGATGGAGAGAACAAAACTAGTATGCCTGCCCCACCACAGCTTGGTTTTATGATGGTTCAGGGGTTGCAGCAGATTCGGCTACGTGTTGACGGTGTAATAAAAAAAGAGCTTTAAATGCTGATTATTGATAGCGCTTGTTCGTTTTTGCATACATCTCCTGCCGGGGTTCTGGTTGCCGTCGATGTGAATGTTGGGTTTGGTTTTGGTTGCAGTAGTGGACCGTACCCTACTCAGGGTTTTGCTGTTGCACTGCACGGCAGCTTCTACAAGTAATTATCCATAGGCCCCATAATAGTTTCTTTTGGGATTACCCTATAGGATTCTAACTATGAACCCCGAAAAGGAACTATTACGAGGCCTATGGGTCCTCGTTCTCGCAACCGCAGTTGAGGGTCGGGTTGTTTAGATCGACATGGGATACTGCCCATACTCAGTAGAAGTTGAACACTGGTTATGATATACACAGACATATAAACATATATGGCTGCTGTTATACTAGCCCGATTATAGACTGGTACTGTATGGGGGCAGTTCACATCAAAGACACAGGGGGCTCTCTAGGACCGCAGAATGGCTGCGACCTATGCTCGAGGCTTCAACCCGACCCCTGAATACGAAACCCTAAAGCCGACTATAGGGGCCTTTAAGAATATTGATAGGGGTTGGGGTGAATTACATGATAATTATTTTAAGGAACCCTGAAAACTCTATTCTAATTATTAAGGCCCCTACATCACAACATGGACCGTGACAGTCAACCCCAAGGACCCTAAGTCCCAGTAGTTACACCCGCAACCCGAGGTCGTTTCTCTACGCAGTCACGGAAAAGAAGCCTCGCATCGCCGCGTGCTCCCACGGCCGTGTCAAGCTACGGATCCATAGACTCTTCTAGCTTTGGGATTAGGATTGGGTAGGGGGTGTAGAGTTTCGTGGCTTAAGGAGTTGAGGGTTTAGGATCAACTAGTCAACTCAGTACCATAGCAAGCCACCTGTTTCCGGCTTTCGGCTGAGGTTGTTCTATCCTACTCGTAGCAGGGTGTACAGAGCATGCTGCAAGGATACTGAGGGCGCCTAAGCCCTAAACAGTGCAGGGATTGCGGATTTGAGTGTTGGGCTGCAGGGTTTCAGCTTAGGGGCTTTAGAGTTGCGGCAGTTGAAATATGAGATTTTGGGCTGAGTCTGGTATAGAGTAAACACGATATTGTCATTTTTAATCGCTCGTCACATCACAAGCTTACAGATTCTGGCATCATTGTTTGTTTATGGTTCTGAACAAACGCTTGCTGAGTCTGACTGCTGCCACTAATCGCTTTCATATCGCATACCCTGAGCCCCGTAATCTCCTCAACCCTGAATTCTGAACCCTATGTCCCTAGGTGCCAGA